CCCACTAGAATGGATTCGTACATACGAGAACCTTCGAAAACCTTCTCTATGCGCCTAACGATCTTTGGACTATTCTAGATTTCTTTTACCTGTCGGTATAAAAGCCGGCGGCAGTGGCCTAGAGAGGGCAGTTATAAATATACAGTTGACGCGCTAAAATTCAAAATAAATTCTTAGTTATAAATCGTTTGTAAATAGTTCTATAAGTCTTTTATCGTTATTATTTTTGTTCATTAGTGTTAAATAAATAGTGTTTAAATAAATTGTGACTTTCTATCCACACGGAACCGACGAAAAAAAAAAAAAAACGACTGACACTGACAACAAGCATCTCTATTTGATATTTACTGGTAATCCGTGTTTTTCCATAGCCTGCTACTTACTTTAGTGGGTAAAATGGAAAAATGTTAATTAAAACCAATATTAAATCATGTCACCCTATAAAATGTTGTTTCTCGTGTAATAAGGAAGATAGTGGAGTAAATAAAAAAACGAAATGTAAAAAAGGCTAAAATGTGATTTCAATTTTAACTTGATACTGTAACTGATCAACTCTACAGGGTGTCACAAATTTTATTAAAAAAACACGTTATAATTGCTACACCCGGTATTAGTATAAAAAGGGTTCCTATCAAAATACAGTTAGTATAGCAACATTGTGGAAAGAATAACCTATTATTCAAAAAAAAATCGTCCAAATCGGATACGTGGTTTTTGACAAAAACTTAACTTAAACTTTTGGTTATTTTTTTGTGGTGCGTTAATTTATTGGGGAAGTGTATTAAAAAAATATATTTTACACAATTGAAAGAAATAGAAGAAATGTTGAGAGTAAGTTTACATTACTCTTAAGTATTAGCTTTTGACGATCAACGTATATGTAGATGTAGCAGGCGCTAGGCGTATCGAATAACTCGACATTTTGCAGAAAGGCTAGGCATATTATAAAACGAGGGTGTTTTTTAGACAATAGAAGGGAATATTACAAAGAGCCTATTTGTTTTCAGTCGCTTTGCAAAATTCCTAATTAAAATCAGGCAAACTAAGCAATGATGATGATATTTGCTGTACATTTCTGCAAAAAAGCCGTTTGTTTGCAGTCAATCTTCAAAATGCCTAATGAAGACTAAGTCAGATTGCACAAAACATTTTATATACGCGGGATTGATATAACTAACCTAAATTTAACCAACGACATTTCTTGAACTTCTCTTTCAACAGTAGGAACTAATGGCACAAAATAGTGATAATTCTGTTATTGAGAGTATGGTTACGGACGATTATTATAAAGATCTAAATTCATTTTATTCTAAAAGACAGCAAAGTTCCACAAAGAAGCAGCCCTGGACACAGAATTACAGAGCATAATAATTAAAATGAAATGAGATATTAATATTAAGTTTTTAATATATTTTGTATTTAAAATTATGTTACTTATAAATCTAATTTATGAAATAGGGTTCAAGTTGTTTTCGTCTAAGCAAAATAAAATTATGTATACCGGGTGCGTCTCAAAAGTGCGTCTCAACATTTTTTTTAGTTAAAAAAACGAGGTTTGGTATTGTACGGATTCCGTGGGTCCACTATTTAAACTCACGATAAAATACTTAACGAATTAATTTGTTTCACTCTGTACACACAACTTATACTATTTACAACACAACTTATGCAACTAGTATTACTCTAACGGTATTTCGCGGTATTATTCAAACTTCAGACTATCTTCAGACTTGTCCAACTGTCGTAAGCGCTCCTTTTATATAGCTGTGGTGAGTGTTTCGCGAACAATCCAAAATTATCGGGACGGGTCCGCCATCTACTAGTATATTCTATTGTCTGCTTCGCTTACTTGTCGACTTGATTAAGAGATGGCGCTACAACAAAAAAATGTCTTCAGATTTCTTGACACGTTGCGGTTTTAGTTGCTCGCTTCTCCGACAGATGGCGCCACATACACCTTGACAGTATGTTAGTATATGACATAAATTAGGATTGATTGACGTATTCAATTGTTTTCGGTCACTTCCGGTTTCACCGGAAACGACTACAACTTTTGATTTTTAAATGGCACTCCCGATATTTTTTTACTTTATTCGATAGAGAATGTCACTCTGAATAGAATGACATATCATATGTCAACTTTTGACATTTTCGCATATTTATGGTTTATTTGAAATTATAACTTGCGGTTCGTAACGAAAATTTGACTTAAAATACCAAGTGTGTGGTATCAAATTATTCGTAAAAAAATGCTTTTTCCAAATATGCTAATGAGCCACCCTCGTTCCATTTGAAAAAATTGAGATATGATTAAAAATACGATTTAAGCATTTTCTAACTGGCCAGGACAAGACACTTAAAACATTAGACGATCAAATCTATTTTTCCAAGGCTCCTTGATGAAGAATTAGTGTTTTTAACATAGCCATGGCACTCTAGATTGAATTTTAAAATACAATTTTTTATTAAGCGAGAATGTCAAAAGTTGACATATGATATGTCATTCTATTCAGAATGTCATTTTCTATCAAATAAAGTAACAAAATACCGAGGGTGCCATTTAAAAACCAAAAGTTGTAGTCATTTCCGGTGAAACAGGAAGTGACCAAAAACAATTGAATATACCGATCAATCCTAATTTATGTCATATACTAGCATACCAAATCTCGTTTATTTATCTGCAAAAATAAAAAAAGTTATATAGGGGTGAGCCACTTTTGAGACGCACCCGGTATAGAATGCGGTATTTTTATTACAGCGCAAATTCTTCAATATGCTCATACCTGACTAAACTTAGGTCATTTTTTAATAATCTGACTGTTTTATAATATGCTTAGATTGCTTAGTCTGTTTGCAGAAAGCCGGATTATTCTATACCCCTGCGATATACATATTTTATATCACATTATCATCGAGACACTGCATGTAATTTTTTGCTTATTTGAATATTTCTTACATATCAATGAAATACCGTATTATCGAAAAAAAAAACGACGTCAGCGATGGCTATGAAATGAAGATCGCTGTCATTTTGTATGTAAAATTATATGTCATTTCCAAGCCAACCGGACGCCGTTTTTTTTCAATCATAGGGTATATACAATAAATACACCGATAGGTAATAGTATAGTTGCCGTCAGAAATAGTTCAGATTATGATTATTGTATTGTTCCCAGTCATTAGTATATAGAAAAACTCGTGAATATTGGGATGGCTCAAAAGGTGTTAAAAATTGTGCGGCGTGTTTCACGAATTTATTATCGCGTCTTCGAGTACTAAAACTTAGTTCCCAACACCGACGAATTTTTCTATACATATAGTTCAAATTGAGTTTAAATATCTATAGTTCAGATTATTTACCATTATAAAAAAACTGAAAACCCCCAAACCCGACCTTTTTAGGTTGGGTTAGTTCTGTTTTTGCATAAAATTCTAGTAGTGGGAACTATCGAATGAATACTATCGAAACATTCGATAGTTGCAATTCATTCGAATAATTCGATAGCTAGTAAAAAAACATTCGTTGAAAACAATTCGAATAAAAATTATCGAATAGATGCGTCATCTGCCTTGAAATATTGTATTCTAGTAATTCGGAGGCAAAAACCATTCATTTATAAAATTCATTCATTTATGGATTTATTCGTCAGGATCGATTATAATAAAATATTAACTGGATTTTAGTTGTCGCCCGGCGACGTAGGTTTCTTTCCGAGAAACCCGACAGCGGTCGGTGGCATTGCTACGAAAGAAGCCGGCATCTTTGATTTTTTGCGGAGTCATATAAAGATAAGGACACATTATTTTTTTTATTGAGGTGGTAGTATTTACACAGAAAATATATTATGAAGGGCGCTGTTGCCATATATTGGTATTAGTTGATATTAGCAAAGAATATTATTGTTTGGCTTTAGTTAGTTAGGGATAGTATGTCTATATATATTTTGCATTTTTTTTAGTAATATTCTGTTGTTACACTGCAATAATACTTGTTATTTTGGATGTAGGAAAATGATTTTTAATGTTTTTAAGCAAAGACTGGTTTAATAAAAATAATAATAACAGTAATAATTTGTTATACCTATTAACAACAAAATTTAAAATAATTTAATATAAACATTATTTTACGTAGTAGCAAAAATTTAAATTTCTCACCCCATAGTTTGAGTTCGATAACCATTTACTTAACCACATTACTTAAATATGATTATTAAGTTCAACTAATTCATATTATTAAAACATCTAAAATACAAATATGTATTTTTAAAATTAATTCTAAGTTCATCTCATCCCTCTTAAAAATTGCTACTTCTCAAAATTTCCCATTAAAAAATAGACCATATAGATATATACCATATAAAATATAATTGAAAGATCGGGCTACGGAAAAAAACTACTATTTTAGTATTTTAAATATTTTATAGGACAGTATTTATAAGGTGAAATTATAAAAATTTGGAAGAACTAAGAATGCACTGACGCACACAAAAATCAAACGAATACTAAATTTCATTTATCAAAAGCATTCGATAGTCGTGGCTCAACGATAACCATTTAGTCGCACGGCGAGGTTGTCACATATGCTTTAGTATACAAATGAATGAATGATTTTATTCGAATAAAACCATTCGATAGTTGAAATCATTCATTCAGTAACCATTCGATAGTTTAATTCATTCGATAGTTCCCATCGCTATAAAATTCATGTTTATAAATAAAACATTTTATTCTTTTACTTATCTAAATGCTTGAAATTACATTCATATGTACCCGCACTATACTGATCCGACTGGCGATATCTTTGGAACTTCTGTATATGGTTTACAAGGAAAATAAAGAATTGTTGGAATCTGTATTATTGCTGGCGACAGCTATTGCACATAATAGATATTCAGTATTGCACGTGAAAAACTCATCAGCCATCATTTTATTTTTGCATTGCTTCGCTTCTTCCACGCCCACATCATTATTCTCACATCCACCATTTGTCACGAATGAAGAATGCACGCGGTGAAATCCTCCAACATAAATTACAGGGTCCAGAATCTTAAGTTCAAAACGGAAGAACAAAGCGACTTGAACGACATCTTGTTGCGAGTGTCTGCATTCGGCCTGTTTACTTATGCAGTCTTCAGCGTGATCGCCGGTCATCTCAGCATCATCACCGGAGATATACCCAACCTTCTAGTAATGGTTACCGGGATCATCGCTGTTCTACAGGTACTGAGATTTAAGTGCTAATAAATAAGAATGTATTAAGGCGATTTTTTCAGGTTATTCTCCAATTCCTATTTATTGCCGATGTTTCAAGACGGAGAGTACACTTACCCGAGCACGATAGAACTAAACCGGGACGTCAAGTGGTTACTTTCCTGCTTATTTGCAACTTAACTATGTGGATCATCTACACTTTCGAAGCACAAAAAGTCGAAGCCAATCCTGTTCAAAAACAATTCTACGGTTTTCTCTCGTGGGCAATAATACAACGCATCACGCTACCTTTGTGCATTTTCCACCGATTTCACTCTGCCGTTACATTGGCCGAAATATGGAAAACCAGTTACAAAGCGAGACTTGAATAAACCACTTAAATCGAAAGTCAGATTAAATCTAATTTGACAAAAACAAGAGAAATTAAAACCAAAGTTGATTGAAAGCTTTACATTGTTATTTTCGTCGTCTTTAATTTAAAAGTTAATTTAAATTGTCTAATAGTTTTAAGTCGACTTACGAGGGCTTTCATAACTGTAGATATAGTCTATAAAATGAATAACCTTGAATTTTGAAAGTTATTTTTTACCACATGGCAAATATAAAATCCCTCTATCAAACAAGTTACTGATATTCTTTAAATTGAGTGCCTGAACGAATCAGATAGGTAACTCTTAACTTTACTTTCGTGAAATAGAAAAGGAAAATAATAAAACAAGTGACAGTTCCTCCCCTTCTTGCAAAAATCAACACGAAATGTCATAATTGACAAAAGTAAAATGTCATCAGCTTTTGACATTTCTAAATATTAGACGAATGCCGTCTCTAATGGAACAGCCACGGAGCGAGATTTATGACGTCACGCTAGTTAGATACTACGGATTAAAAAATATGTTGTAGAATACATGGAACACATAATTATTCCTCTTATTTTGGGTTTGTATTTTAAAAATGATATAGTTTACATGAATTATACGTAATATACAGTTAATAAATACAATATAATATATACCTATTTATAGTAATAAATACTTTGGCCAATAAACTATGAACCATACAAATGCAGCAAATGTTTTACAATATACAAATAATGAATAGGTGGTACATAAGATAATGGGTAAAATGTAAAATATATTTTAAATTATGGGGTTTGAAAATCGATCTAATTTAACAAAAAACATTCAATATCTACTAATAGTGATGTATTATTATTTGCATTCGCAAAATGTATTTATATATTATAATGTTTACTGCAATTAATAAACTAACATAAACTTGTCAAAAGATAACCACATATTTTTTTTAAATTATTATTCTTAACACAAAAACTATCTACATTGGCGATCGAGTACGATTTCAGCCATATTGTAAAACATTTGCTGCATTTGTATGGTTCATAGTTTACCTGCCAAAGTATTTATTACTATAAATAGGTATATATATTGTATTTATTTACTGCATATTATCTATATTTCATGTAAACTATATCATTTTTAAAATACAAACCAAAAATACGAGGAATAATTATGTTTTCCATGTATTCTACAACATATAACAGCCCGCGCGAATTGTCAAATTCAAAGTTATTCGTTTTACAGACTGTAGCAATGCTCAATTGTGATGCTTACTAATGAAACTAAAATAGAATTGCTCTTAACATAAACAAAATCGAATTGCAAATGAATCGATCCGTGCAAATTGGGCAGATTTAGAGTGTAAACACATATCAGAGGTCAATTTTGGATGAATGTCAGAAGTTACCGATAAATTCAACAAAAAAAAATCTAGAGTGATTACATTTTAAAATCATTAAATCGAAAATTGAAGCTCAAAATAATGCAATGATAAAAGTTCAAAGGACGAGTGGAAAAAGTTAATGGAATAATATGAATCAGCCCACCTTATTCCGTTTGTGATAAACTCATACTTTAATTTATATAGTTTATAAATACTGTTCTGTAATTGTGTAAATATTCTATTACTAACAAGTCTGATATTTTTGCTCACCTACATAGAGATAGCGGAGAGCCTTTTCCCGTTTAGGTTTTACGGTTAGATCAAATTAGGTCCACATATCTCCTCACAAATAATAAACGATGACGCGAGACCATTAAAAATTGTTAATTTGTCTAAAAATATACTCTGGAAAATCACCACAAAGCAAAATATATTTTTTCGAATGGAGATATTTAATGAAATAAGACTGAAACGACTAGTCACACCGCATTACTTAAGCAAATGTAAAAAAGAATCACAATTTAGTAATTTAAGTACACATTTTTAGAGAATTTAGAGATGAATTAACAATTTTACATAGACATACAGTAGATTTTTATAAACCGAAAATTGGTACTTTTACGCACATAATACGCACATAATTTCGCTGTAATAAAAACAATTAAACCCAATTTCATGTTTGTAACGTATGCCACGAAAAAATATATATACAGGGTCTTCCAAATGTAAATAATGCCCATTATAAAGGAAGTTCATCCCTACGAAGAATCGAAATTTGGGATAATTCCTAAACAAGGCGTTTTCGTAAAGAAGAAAATTATTAACCAAGTAAGTTTGAATATTTAATTAAGGTTTGTTTCAAAATATAAGAAAACTGAGTTTAGATTATAGTATTACATATGTACAAAACCATTTTGTCATTTTTCTTAAGTAGTAGGAGGCGATATATTTCCGTATGATCATTACCAGAGTTGTTTCTAGACAAAAATTTTCTAAACATGAAACGTCGAAATCCAACTAAACACAAGCCTTTACAGCATATACAGGGTGGCGCACCTCATTCGCCTCGGTTGATTATACGAAAACGGAAAGATGTAGAAACAAAATATTTTATGGGTATATGTGGGGAGCCAATGTGCATAATTTAAAATTATTTTGAAATGTACAGGGTGTCTCAGAACTAAGATCCATACCAAAGTTATATTTTTTCTTATGGAACACCCGGTATTTTATTTCATTTTTGAATCCTTAGTTGAATTGATTATCAGTACCCTGTACATTACTTTTCAGAATTAATTCTTGCGCTGAGTTTAAAGGCAAAGAAATAAACTTTACTGAAAAATGTTATTGCTTTCTTAAATTTATACAGCGGTACCAAAAATTAGTTATTTATTTTAAGGATTTATTTTACATAAAAACTTTGTTATTTCAAATGCAACACCCTGGATTTTTTTAAATAAATCGAAGCAGATTCAAATGTTCTTTCAAACTATATTAGGGTTTCCTATACCTATCTCAGATTTTGAATAAAAAGAGATTTTTAAATAAAATGGCAATCAAGATGGCTGGTATCGCCATGACATAGTGACAGTTAAATAAATGTGGTCTAAATTGTAAATAATGTCTAGTGATAGTGATAAATGTGGTCTAAATTAGAAGAAAATGCATTTTCTACGAAAACTTGAAGAGATGGGTAAAAAATGGTATAATACAATTTGATAGACAATTACATTGTGCATCTGATTCACGTAAAATATATAGGGTGTTCCATTTAAATTAAACAAGTTATTGCCGTTTATAGCTAGTAATTATTTAATATAAATTTTTGGACACTCTGTATAAGGTAGTAAAATTTTTATTAATACAACACAATATCTGATCAATAAATAATCTTCAGTAAATATTTAGTATTAATAACTTTGATACCCTTGGAGAAATGAAGCCTCAAAATTTTTACTGCAATTTCAAAAATTGAAAATATTTCGGAAACGGTAAGGTTTAAGCACAGTTTAAAGAATATAAATATAATAGTCCTTCAACGAACCCAAAACTTACAATTTGTAAAAATCTAATCGTTTAGCTACAATACTCCGTGTCGTATGTGGTGAACAACCCTGTATAATATTCATATTCGAGTTACTTGTTATTCACTGTACATTTTTAACATAACAAATCGAAAATAAGGCGTAATAAAGCGAAAACACTTTGTTGGGTTAAAAGATTACGCGATTTTTTATTTCAAAATCGTTCTACAAAATATGCAGAACGATAAATATTGCTGAACAACATAACGGGTGTTTTTTAACAATATACATTGCATGATATCATAAGCAAATGTACATAATTTAAAATTGGTGTCTATTACATAAATGCTTAACTTAATTCAAAAGTTAATTGAAATTAAAAATATAAGAATAAATATTTTTTTCTTTTTGAAAGTGCGAAATATAAATTAAGTAAGTTTTATTCTATGGACCATAACATAAGACTAAAATAGAAAACACTAAATTATTACGCAAATAGTTTTATTCATTTTTATTGATTATATATAAAATGGAGTGTAAAAGAGTACTAAAACAATTTACATATTTTTAAAATACGAGTATTTAAGTAAAGAAGCGTTAAGTAATTCATTCATATGTTTTTGTCTTTAATTTTAAATCCGATATACAATTTATATATTTTTTGAGGTTGTGGCAATATTGAAGTCTTACTAATGTTTTACTCAGACTAATGGACATATTAAATACCTAATAGTGTGTTGTGAAAGAATCTTTATATGTGTTAAATAAGTATCTATAATAAAAATAATATAATGTTATAGAGATAAGATTCACTAGTTTTTAAAGGCCATTTTTGTAAATATTCATTTCGACAACATTCTTAATTTATTTTATTACTACTTGGTAGAAGTTAATTTTACTAATCAAAAAATAAAAGTCGTTTACCAAAAAATTATACAGGGTGTCAAAAAATAGCGTCTCTAACTTCGGTAGATGATTCTACAGATAAAAATAAATCAAAAAGTTCCTGTGAAACCCTAAAACGCTTTTCGAAGAAGTTATAGCCCTCGAAAGGGTAATTAATAATAACATATTTTGTTTATTTTTATGAACATTGGTAAACCGTTTTTCTTGAATTATCGTACTCATGCACACATTTTAATATCAAAGCGAATGACGATAGCTATTCGGTAACAGCCCTGAAAGTGTACTTTCCATTAAGGTAGAAAGTACCTACTACTGGTCGTACTGTGGTACTTTTTTATCCTTATAGATACAGTAATTTCAACAAATGACATAAAACGCTATGACTTTTCAACGTAAAAAAGGTGCTCTTCGTTTAGTTCGATATTCCAAGCTTTTTATGTAATTTATTTTTCAATAAATCAATTCCTTACTGTATCTATAAGAATACAAAAAGTACCACCACAGTAGTACTCTCTACCGTAATGGAAAGTACCCTTTGAGGGCTGTTACGGAATTTTACACCATCGCCATTCGCTTTGGCATTAAAATCTGTGTAAGAATGCCAAATTTCAAGAAAAACTATTTTTATTTGCCCTTTCGGGGGCTATAACTTCTTCGAAAAGCATTTTAGGCCATATGTTCAGAAGAACTTTTATGTTGTATTGCTTATAAAGTAATATTGCTATGCTATATTACTTTATTTTGTTTTTATCTGTAGAATCATCCACCGAAGTTAGGTACACTATTTTTTGACACCCTGTATATAATTATAACTGAGGAGTATAAATTGCATTAATTGTACCATAGAGTTATTAAGATAGTTATTAACATGTGGTTGAAGTAAAAATAAAAAAGCATGAATTGTAGTAGATTAAATTTAAGCTCGATCGACAATTGTCCAAGATTTTTAACAC